TATTATCTGGCAATCTGTCTAACAATAATCCTATTCCATAACTAAATCAATACATTTGTTTTGAATTATAACTCTGATGCTTGAAATAGCTCCTTATGATATGCTTTTAAGATGGAAAAGGTAACAATTTCCATATGTACAGGCTAGGTTTCTCTTGACTCAGACTGGTGTGACATTTGTAGACCGTTTCTTTCCCCAGAATACTAAGAAGACTCTAACTCTGTTCCAAACAATTTAATTTTCTGCTCCTATTCTCCTTCCTGATTTTTAATTATTTGTGTTTGTATAAATCTCCAGATTGATGAGTTTTACGTGGGGCCAGTGCCTCCCAAGCAGGTAACCTTTGCCAAGTTGAATGACAACATCCGTGAAAACTTTCTGACTGACATGTGCAAGAAATATGGTGAAGTGGAAGAGGTAGAGATTCTCTACAACCCCAAGAACAAGAAGCACCTGGGCATTGCCAAAGTGATCTTTGCCACAGTGAAGGGTGCCAGGGAAGCCGTCCAGCACCTGCATAACATATCTGTCATGGGCAACATCATCCATGTGGAACTGGATACAAAAGGTGGGAAGCAGATTTTAGCTTAATACTCTTTTTAGTTGCAACCCCCAGACCCTGCATCCCCTCTCCCCTCCAAAAGTGATATGCTTTTCCAGACTGGAGGAGCTGGGTGATTAGAAATACTAATAAATGAATGTAGTGACTGTTACTCCTTACCCCTCTGTTTCTCTCCTTTTTTTTCTGGGCCATTGGAAGTCATGTGGGGCTGAATGTATTTTCTGTTGCTAGGAGACAGTCCTGTAATTTACAAAATGCTGCCCTCCTGTCCATTTCATTCACTCACGCTGACACCTGTTTGGCAAAATCTGCTCTTGCCATCACCCTCCTCCCTTTTCAGAATCTCTTTACAAATGCCTTGGTCTAAACTGGTGGGAGTGTTCAGAGGTTTAGAAATGCATTTTGAAATATGGTTGTAAAGTTTTTTGTCTTAGAAACCACTATATCTTTTTAAAAAAACAACAACAAACCACACACTAACTGCAGCAGGATCCTGTTTTCAGAGCTCTCTGTGTTTCACTGATGCTTAGTAACAAACCCAAGTCTAGCAGTAAAAAGTGTATAGCACTTGCCACTGTGAGTGAGGAGTGTGTGTGTTTCTGTCCTCTCTCTCGCTCTCTCTCTTAAAGGGACAGTAACACTCGTGATCCTCCGTGTAACTGAACCACAATGGTACTGCTATAGGAATCAACAGTACAGTAATTATTCAAATACTGTACTGAAAATATTAAAATTCTGCTTATTCTTGTTTTGTGTGTGTAATTTTTCCCCAACTATGTTAGTAAATGACTTTTCTGAACATCTGGATAAAAGCTAAACTAGCAAAGTGTGCAACATGTTACAGGCATTTATTTGTAACTTTTATTAGTATTTATTATTTGTATTGTAAACATCATTCTAGTTTGAGGCATGTGTTGCACTGCTTTTTTTTACGAAAGAGGAAGAGCCTATGAATACCTTTCTCTCAAAGAAAAACAGTTCAATGTTTGTCTGTTAACCATACAAAGTATAAAAAATGTTTCAACAACCTTCAAGTGCAGAGTTGACATAACATTTGGTATGTAACACACAATTTCTGACATTCCTGCCTGAATATTAAAAGAATATTTAAAAGTTGAAATAATTTGCCATATTAAATCCCACAGTCAAGGTTTATTTATAATTTTTAGCACTATTTTAACTTAAATTGATATCACCCTATTACATTTGATGAAAATTAACATGTACATTCAAATTGGAGCAACAGCCACTTTCGGTTTTAAGAATGGGAATTAAAGTGTGTTTACAGGGTGAGAGTAGGTATTAAGAGGCTTCTTGGGCAAGTTGATTGGACAGGTTTTTACTCTGTGGATTTTATATTTCACTTTTGTAACCCTAGAACAGGTGGTAGTTCAAGAGCTAGGAATGTTAACTGCGTGTCAAGAAGGTGGTGGTTTTGAATGTTTTAATTACTTTAGTGAAAACACTAAGACCTCTTAATTTTAAATTGCACTCTTGTTTTTACATACAACTCATAAGCTATATGTGTGCCTCTAATTTTAACCTTTTATAAACTTGTGGCTACTTTGTTCTGTTGTTTTAAAAGAAGATGCAATAGTACCAAAACTGCTTTGTGGTCTGGTTAAACTATAATGCTAAAAATAGCCGTTGCAACCTCTGACATCTTTGGATACATAGTCTATAATTTTCATTTTACTTATCCATTTATTCCCAATATTCATTTTTTCAAGACTGTAGTAAAATACATCTTTATCAAAAATCAATATTGGATTCCATATTTTAGCAAAATGAGTATAAAAAGGAGCGCAAGAAGTGGTTTGTTTAATGTTTTACTGAATAAAAAAGGGAATGGGAAAGCTAAGATATTTATATTCATTTGTGCTATTTAAAAACAAAATTTTAAATTTGCTTCTACATCACAATATTCATGACAAGTGCTATCATTTCATGTGAATTCAGTATTTCAAACACTGTGGGCCCAATCGCCAGTTGTCAAATTATCATAGCTCCATTGACTTGATTAGGCAATGATCATTGACACAAGATGAGGATCTGGTCCAATAGTTATGTATGTGAAACAGTGTTCTAAAAACAAATGTTATTGAAGCCTGGTAAGCGGTATTTATTCCTGTAAAATTGAATCTAATGGATGTTTTACCTGAATAATGCTGTATCAAGCTTTTAATCTGTAGCAGATTCTTTAGACAAGTACATTAGAAGATACTAGTTATGCACAGCTATGTATGAGAATTGAGTGTTTGATCCTGCAGAGCTTACTCGTGTAGTCCTGTTGAGTTGGAGTACACACTCTCATGAGTACATACAGAGAGAGAGAGAGTGACTGACTGACTGCAGGTTCAGGCATTGGGTTTGTGCTTTTTTACTATATTTTCTTTCTCGGTTATACATTACTTATTTTTTAATTGTAATTGGAAAAGAAAAAGTAAGAAACAGCTTGTGTTGTATTGACTTAAATTGAATTTTCAGTGTTAAAAAAAAAAAAAAAGAACCCCACCCTTCATGTAAGCAAAATTCAGAATATCTCAACAGGTCTGATCCAGCTTCTTTTGAAATCCATGACAAACGTACTGACTGCAAAATGAGTAAGCTCAGGTTCAAAGTAAAACAAACTTGTCTAACATTAATAAACTATGTCTTCATTTGAATTCAGCAGCCTGAAAATGAGAATGTTAAACATAGATAGCAGTGTTGCATGAAGGTTTGCATTCTTTAGAACAGGGGTGGGCAATAATTTTTGAATGGGGGCCACTTGAAAAATTTTTGAAGTTGTTGCGGACTGCTCCAGAAGGGGCGGGGCCTTTAAATAGCAGGAGTTGAAAGGGCTCGCGCCTCCCCTGTAGTGGGGGACAGGAGCGGCAAGCCAAATTTCTGCTATTGCTATTTAAAAGGGCTTGCTGCTTCCAGCGTCGCTGCCAGGGATGCTAGAGTGTTCCTTCTAAGATTTTCCATTCTTTGGCAGGTTGAATTTCCTTTTGGGTGGGTTGAAATTTCTTATGTGCAACACCAATAGTGAGGCAGTGTTTGGATGTGCACCCAGCAGTACAAACAAAAACCCTAGATATAAAGATATATTTTAAGTAGTCCATAGATGTGGAAGAAAATATATTAAAACAAGGAGCAATGCTTATGATTATTTAATATGAAAATAAAATTAACACTACTCATGGCTGAAGAAATAGACTGTGCCCAGGAAAGCTCATGATAACTATTTATATATTTTTGTTAGTCTGTAAGGGTACATCTAGACTACAGGCTTTTGTCGACAAAACTATACCTGCGTCCACACTGCCGCTGAATTCTGTCGGCAAAACATCAACAGAACTCGGCAGTTTTGTCGACGGCGGTAAACCTCATTCTATGAGGAATAACGCCTTTTGGCGACAGAGTTCTGTGGACAGAAGGCGTTATTGCATCTACACTGTCCTTTGCGTCTACGCTGTCATGTCGACAAAGCGGCTTGCTTTGTCAACAGACCTGGATGTAGTCTAGATGCTTTGTCGACAGATACTGTCGACAAAACTTCTGTCGACAAAAGCCTGTAGTCTAGACGTACCCTAAGGTGCTCCAGGACCATTGTTGGTTTTTAAGTTCTTTTAGTTACAGACTAACAGGGCTAGCCTTCTGAGACCTTGGAGTACATGTATTATCATCATTTCTAAGGCTTTGTCTGCACTACAGGGTTTTTGCGCAAGAAGCTTTTTGCGGGGGGATCTTGCGGAAAAGCACATCCACACCTCAAAAGCACATCGCAAAAGCGATGTGCTTTTGTGCAAAAGAGTGTCCACACTGCAAGAACGCTCTTGCGTAAGAAAGCTCTGATGGCCATTCACAGAATGGCCATCAGAGCACCTGTGCTTTTTGCACAAGAAACCCCTGTTGAGTGTCCACACATGCCTTTTTGCTCAAGAACTCTGGCACAAAAAGGAGTTACGCCTTGTAGAAGGAGGTATACCTACACCGCAAAAAGCCCTCTGTTCTGTTGATTGGCTGCAGATTTTCTTGCGCAAAAACATGCTTGAGGTGTGGACGCTCCAAGGGTTTTTGTGCAAAAACCCAGTAGTGTAGATGTAGCTTAACAGACAGATGCATGTTTCAAAGCGCTTGCAAATAAGGTTTCATCCTACAAAACAAGTATCAGAAGGGTAGCCGTGTTAGTCTGAATCTGCAAAAGCGGCGAGGAATCCTGTGGCACCTTATAGACTAACTGAAGTGTAGGAGCACGGCCAAACTGGACAGTCCCTACGTAAAAGAATCAATGGATACAAATCTGATATTAGGAATGGCAACATACAAAAACCTGTAGGGGAACACTTCAATCTTCCTGGACACACAATTGCAGATCTAAAAGTAGCCATCCTGCAGCAAAAAAACTTCAGGACCAGACTTCAAAGAGAAACTGCTGAGCTACAGTTCATCTTTAAGTTTGACACAATCAACTCTGGATTAAACAAAGACTGTGAATGGCTTGCTAACTACAAAAGCAGCTTCTATTCTCTTGGAATTCACACCTCCAGATCAGCTGCTAGAAGTGAGCCTCATCCTCCTTGATTGGATCCACCTGGTCATCTCCAGCCTGATCCTGGCCTGCATATTTATTCCTGCCTCTGAAATTTCCACTACATGCATCTGATGAAGTGGGTCTTTGCCCACGAAAGCTTATGCTCCAACACTTCAGTTAGTCTATAAGGTGCCACACAATCGTACAAAACAGCGTCACTTGCTACTTCTGACTCATAAGAGCCAGAACTCTACCACATAGCAAAGATCTGGCCTTAATGCACTACAATTTACCATGTATTAATTAGTAACACAGGATTTAAAAACAAATAATTAAGATCAGAGTTTTGGATATCTGCAACAGTAAAAAAAATTGTTAAAAGGATCTTTTTCTTTCTTAAGCTATTAACACCTCCTTAAACTTTGCTTGAAATGTCATCATGCAAATGTGGCATACACTTCCCTGCTGTGTGTGTATCACATGGGATCCCAGCCCAGCCAATTCCCCAAGGGAGGACTAGGGGAGAAGCAGGAAGTGGGGAGGCTGCTACATTGTTAGCAGTTCACAGGGCAGGGGAGGATTTGGGAAAGGCAGAATAGTTGAGCTGATCTAGCAGGCCTGTAACTTACCCAGCTTTTCCCATGGGGCTGGTTGCAGGCAATGAAGCAAAGTTTCCTCCTCCCTTCAGCAGCAGCTTCAGCATGGATGTGGGTCACATGATCCCCCCCCCCCCCCCCCACACAACCCCCCCGGGACCCGGGAGGACCACAGGAGAGCGGGGAGCCAGTACAGCAGGCAGCTACTGCTGCTTCTGCTCCTCCACCACAAGTAAGCGACTGTCTGGCCCCTTCTTCCCCAGCCTGAGCTCTGTTCCTGCGCAGGGAGCTCTGAACAGCTGCATGGGCTCAGAAAAGGGCTGGGCAGCCATGTGGGTGCACAGCTTACAGGGAACCTTGCACTAGAGCCCTTTCAACTGCTTCTATTGAAAGGGCTCATGAGAGTCCTTTAAATAGAAACAGTTAAAAGGGCTCACCACTCCCACTGCTAGCATTGCCTGGGAGCTGGAGACGCGTGAGCCTGTTAAATAGAAGCAGTTAAAAGGGCTCATGGGGCTCTGGCTCCCGGGCAACACACTAGGGGGGCAGAGCCTGGAACAGCCACATGAGCTGGATCAAGGCCCACTGAGAGGCTTTTGTCCATCCCTGCTTTAGAATGCTCATGCTAGGAAAGTGCTCCATCACGCTGAAAAACAGGTTAGCCACTACCTTGGAGAAAAAGTAATAATTTTTTGACTCTTGTGTTCGATTGCATCTCATTTGTATTAATAACACCTCACATTTTTCCTCTAGCATATATGTGGAAAAGGCTTCTAAACTGGCTACAGCTGTGTTTCTCAAACTGTGGGTCACAAGTAACTTAGAGGGGGGGTCATGGTATCACAAAGTTTGAGAACCCCTGGGCTACAGGTATTGGCAGAATTGGTTGTTGCAGTTAGTGAGAGGAAGCTTTTTATAAAAGTTATAGTTCTGATACATGTAAACCATTTGACACTTATGAGGAGGGATTACAGCTCTCCAGAAAGCATTATGCAGAAACAACAGCCAAAAAGAATGGCAGGGGGGGAATTACTTAGAAACCTCTCTCTCTCAAGGGAGCATATTAACAGAGGCTACTGTATCCTTAATTATATACATCAAGTTTCAAGTGTAGCTATTAATATTGGATTTTGC